GCCCTGATTTTTAAAAAAATGTATATATATAACTGTTTTTTTTGTGTGTGTGGAGGGGTGTACAAGGACATGTATGCATACACATACCTGGAGGCCAGAGGACAATCTTTAATGTTGTTCCTTGGATTACTTTGTTTATTTGAGGCAGGGTCTCTTACTGACTTGTTGCTCATGCAGTAGGCCAAACTAGATGGATGGTGAGCCTTGGGGTTTTGATGCTCTCTGCTTCCTCCTCCCCAGGAGTACAAGTGTGTGCCGACTGTATCCATATTTGATTTTTAGAATCTAGATCCTGAGCACTGAACACAGGCCCTTATCCTTGCAGGGCAAACTCTTTAACTCAGTGAGTTTTCTCCCCAGGACCCAGTCTCTGTTTTCAGTGTGATAGGTAAATACGAACTGAACTTAAACGGTAAGTGGGGTGGTAGAAAATAGTAGGAATGAAAGTCACCTATTTCCTTTTGAAGGTTTATTATTGGTAGTATTTTTAACTATGCATGTGTATCTCTGTGTGGGTATGTGCGTGTGACTGTGGAGGCCTATGATGGCCAAAAGAGAGCATTGGAGCCCCTGAAGCCAGAGCTACAGTTGGTTGTGAGCTGCCTAACATGGGTGTTGGGAACTGGGCTTGGGTCCTTTATCAGAGCAACAGTGCTTTTAGCCCTTAAGCCATCTCTCCGCCCCAAAAGTCACCTATTTCAAAGCCAACATCTGTATTCAGTCTGCTGTTGGCTTTAAGAAAAAAGGTTTCTTCTCAGCATTCCAGCATCCTGTTTACAGAGTGATGGCAGGAACGTAATCACTCCTACTTATGTTCCTTGTGGAGCCGAGGCAATAAGTACTGAAATATAGAGCTGCTGTTTGCAGTTATAACAACTAAATAATATATGCATTGTCTTTATTACGGCTGATAGAAACTGGCATTTTCCAAGATGAAGCAAGGCGAAAAGGTTAGTTTAAGAATTAGCAGTTAAAAAACAAAAAACAACACACAAAAAAACCCTGGCCTCTGCAGTCTGCCTTCTAAATCATGCAAACATTTATGTTTGTGCCAATGTCGCCCTATTGCCTTTCCAGCAATTACTGAAATGCATTCAGAGATAAAAACGGAGTTCAGGGAAGAATATTTAAGAGCTCTTTAATGAGGTTAAAAACTTTACTAATTTGCCAAGTTTCTCTGAAATCTACTTTTTTTTCATTGTTTTTTTCTTGCTTACCCATCTTCCTGCAGTTGAACTGATTCCAAGAATTTTTGAATAAAGGGGCTGGAAGGCTGGAAGGACTGGGGACATTTCCAAACCTCAGGAATTATTCCTTTTCCTTTACTAGCTAAAGGTGAATATTCAGGGGGCTCTAAAAACCCTTTGGCTTTGTTTACTCTCCTTAAGCTATTTGATGTGAGAACAAAAGCTGAGCAGTGGTTATAATGGGTGGTTTGAATTAAACTGTTTTTTAAAAGACAAGATTCTATGCTCCCTGGCTAGTCTTGAATTCACTATGTACCCTAGGCTGGCCTTGAATTTACTCAGTAGCACAGTATAATGGCTAGCTTTAAATGCCACTGTCTTAGGGTTCCTATTGCTGAAATAAAACAGCATAACCAAAAGTAACTTGGGGAGGAAAGGGTTTATTTCCCTTGTACTTCTAGGTAACAGTCCATCACTGAGGGAAGTCAGGGCAGCAAGGTGGTGGTGGTGGGGTTCTTTCACAGGCATGCCCACTTTCACCCATTAGGTCCTGTTTCTTAATGGTTAAATACTGTAGTCTACTTATCAAGCCCTCAACACATGGACATTCTGGAAACATTTTAGATGGAAACTATGTAAGAATCTCAAACTTCCATTTGGGTATTTAACAAGGCCTAGACTTTGGGTTTGGGTAACTCACGGTGATGGCTAATCTTAGCAGTCAACTTGGTTAGTTGTAGCATGACCTGGGAGATGCACCAACCTCTTCGTATATCTGTGAGAGCATTTTTAGGGAGGCTTAGCTGAGGGCATTCATCCTAAACATGCAGCACCACCCCATAGGCTAGGATCCTTGACTGAATGAGGAAAAGAAAGTGAGCTGAGAACCAGCAGCCATCTCTGTCTGCTTCCTGACTGTGACTACAGTGTGAGCAACTGCTTCCTAGTGTCTCTATTTCTTTACTTGCCATGATAGATAGTGTCCTCAAAATGTGAGCCACAATAAACCCTCTTTCTTAAGTTGCTTTTGTCAGGTATTTGATCCCACCAGTGACAAAAGTAACCAACACACTCACATAGCATTGGTGAACCTAAGTTTATCCATCTGGAGAGCAGCCATTGTCCCTATAAATACAACAAAATTTCTGCAATGTGAAATTTATAGAATCTCTTTGAAAGTAGCTTTATGTAGAAGATTGTGGACTAGCATTATTGATGTTGTGATGAGGACAGTTATGGCCACCAAGGAACAAAACTAGTGGTTCCCCTACAGCTCTATTTTATCCCCTGTAAAAATATAGATAATGGAGAAATGTGTTCGTGTTCTGAAATTTTATGGGATGAGAAAGATAGATTTGTGCTTGGCAGATGGCTCAGTTGGTAACATCCTTGTTATATAATCTCAGGGACCTGATTTTAGTCCCCAGAGCCCAGGTGAAAATGCCAGGTGTGGTAACAGATGCTTGCAATTCCACCTGGGGAAGGGCTGTGGAGGATCCCTGGGGCACACTAGCCAGTCAGCCTAACCCAATGGGTGAGCTCCAGGCCAAGGAGAGACCCTTCCTCAAAAGAAGAGGTGGATGGCTCCTGAAGAATAATACCCAAAGTTGACCTCTGACCTCCCCACGAACATTACCTACATGCACTTGCATACATATGCATTCCTAAATGGACAATACCAACATGCACACGTACATTCACTAAATATACACATAATATGTATTTAGTGACAAGTGAGTACATTTCAGTGTAAATAATGGCTAGAGCTGGTTCTCTCTGCATCTTTAGTATGTGAGTGTGTGCATGTGAGTACAGTGCCCACAGGGACCAGAAGAAGGCATCAGATTCCCTGAAACTGGAGTTACAGGTGATTGTGAGCCACCTGAAGTTGGTGCTGGGCACAGAACTTCAGCCTTGCAAGATAAGCAAATTCTCTTAACCATCGAGTCAGTTGTCAGCCCTCAGATCTTCATCTTCAGGAAGTACATCTAAAGGAATGGTTAAGTGATTTTTCCATGGTTTTCAAAACATGATCTGTAAATTCTTTGTCATTCTTCTGATCAAAAGGTGACAATTAATTCTCCTCTAGTTGCTCGCATTCTGGCCTCAGTGTCTTGCTTCTATGAACAGAATTCAGTGAAAGACTGTCTAAAGACTTCTGAGGCTGGATCATGAAACATAACAGAACCTCCACCCTGGAAGCTCTCTGGGAAAGCCATGCTGGACAGTCTGCCTGGAAAAGAATGGGTTCCCCATGGAACCAATCTGTGTTTGCCCACTGGCCAGACATACAAGCTATCTCCTCTCCCAATCACACCGACTCCTAGACCCCCCAGCCTCCTCCAGCTGATACCAAGTGATCTGGTCTAGACACCAGATGTCTCCGCTCTCAAGTCTAGACCCAATGGCAAATTCACAAGCAAAATAAATGTGGCTCTCATTTTGAGCCACTAACTTTTTTTATACAGCAATAAATCTCTGGTGCAGGAGGGCAATATCCTTGTGCTTAATAAGGTTTTTTTTTTTTTTTTCTCTTCAAAACCTAAGATGTATCAGAGTCCTGATGATGAAGGCACTGATAGCAACACTAACAGTCATAAAGGTGACAACAGAGAGCACTTATTGAACACTTGTTTAATGTACCAGTCACTGCACTAAAGGCTTTATATGGACATAAAACTGGGTAACGAGGTTTTTTTTGGCAAGTCTTGGATTCACCTGCCATCACTGGACTATAGGCACCAACCTGATTACTATGGGGAAAGTTAGGCCAGCCAAGAGTTTCAGATGTCTTGCAGCCAAGTCTCTGGCAGTTGTCCTGGACCACTGTGGAACTCTACTACATAAGAGGATAGGGCTGTCTCTTGATGACTTCATCCCAATGGACATCGCTTTGGTTGCTGTTACAGTTTGAGTGTGAAGTGTCTCCCTCAGACATGTGTTGAAAACTTGGTTCCCAGAAGGGGATGAAGTTTGAGAGGTTATGGAAACTTCAGTGGGGATGGAGTGGTAGGTAGGGCTTACCTGGAAAAAGTAGGTGCTCTGGTGACAGGTCTTTGGTGGGCATCTTGTCCTTGTTTTTTTTTTTTTTCCTGATACGCTTATTCTGATTCCTATAGGACATAAAGACCTGTCTCAGAGGGCTGTGGAAATGGTTTAGTCAGTAAAGTCATGAAAGCCTGAGTATGGATCCCCAGTACCCATGTAAAAGTTGGGTGTGGTGCTGTGGGTGTTACCTGGGTGCTGGAGAGGTTGGGAGAGTCAGGCCCATCCTTGGAGATACTAAGCAGACAGTGTAGCCTACCAGTGATCTGAGTTCAGTGGGAGGTCCTGTCTCAACAAACATGGTGGAGAGTGATTGAGGAAGCTTCCCTATGTTTACCCATGTCCTGTGTGTGTGCACAAATAGAACATGGGCCATTTGCTGCTTCTAGATGTGAGTACACTGTAAACATACAGCAGGCTTTCCTCTCTGGGGGTTAAACCAAATGTACCTTGGGTTTCTTTTTATTCTGATGGTGCAGTGAGGAATTATGGTCTCCTTGCAGTGGAGACAAATCACTTTTTCCAGAGTGACAACATCTCTTGTTTAATTCTTACCTTGTGCAATTGTGTGTGCTCGAATGCTCTCTCTCTCTCTCTCTCTCTCTCTCTCTCTCTCTCTCTCTCACACACACACACACACACACACACACACAAGATTGAACACTGGAGTGCAGGGGATGTAGCAATCTTTTCATGCTTGGCTGACTTTCCTGTTTACTGGGGGAACTTTTGAAAGAACTTCTAATCCCCAGCTCCCTTGGTCTGGAGGTTCACAATTTATCAGTACAGGTTGGGGCATCTAAAGTCTGAAAGTACAGAATGTGATAAGCACCCAAATCTGACACTTGCCAGGAGATTGACACGCCAGATTCTAGAGTCTGAGTTACAGATGTTCATTCATTTGTGTTTGCATGTATGTATGTGTTTTTGTGTGTATGTAGAGGTCAAAGTGTGGGTGAGTGCCCGTGTGCAGTTACATTTTCATTTGGAAGTCAGTGTGCAACCTTGGGTATCATTCCTCAGATTCCATCCACCTCGGTGCTTTTTTGAGTCAGGGTTTCTCCCTGGCCTGGGGCTTACTGCATTGGCTCTGTTGGTCCTAGTGAGCCCCAGGGATCCTCCTGTCTCTGCCTCCTCATAGCTAGGATTACAAATGCATTCCACCGAAAACATGTGTTCTGGAGACAGAATTCAGGTCCTCATGCTTGCTCTGCAAGCACTTTACCTACTGAGTCATCTCCTTAGCCCCTTACCTGGTATATTCTACTCAAATATTCTAAAAGGTTATGTTCTACCAATCCCCAGTATTTCAGATAAAGGGCACTCAAACTGTATAAGGTAAGAGTTACCCTTTTGCTTCACTACAGAGAGTTATTCATTTTGACCTACAGCCTCAGAGAGTTCAATCAGTGGCCACTTGGCTCCTCTCACTTTGGCATAGCATCATGGTTGTTGGAGGATGGGGCTGAGGTGCTACTTCACAGCATGGTAGACAGAAAACAGAAGCAGGAGGCAGTTCCTTTTGCTTAGCCTCAGAGGGTTTTTTTGTTTGTTTGTTTGTTTGTTTGGTCCCATGCACTGCAGCAGAACATCATGGGGGAGAGTGGTCCTCACTTCTTGGCAGACGGCAAGCATAGGAGGGGGATACAGGAGTAGGCCAGGGTAAGATGTAGCCTTACGGATGCACCTCCAGTGACCTACTTCCTCCAACTGGACCTACCTTGTCTCTTTAAATCCATCTCAGTCATACTGCCGTATAATAAATGCATTCAGGGATGGATCCATTAATTACCTCAGAGCCCTTACAATCTTATTATTTCTGGAATCTACTTCACAGAACTGTGCTTCACCAGACAGTCACAGTTGACTATCACAGGTGTGTGTATGTATGCACGTGTGCACACATAAGTGTTCATGTGTTTGTGGAGGCCAGAGGTCAACCCTGAGTGTTTCCCTTCACTGTTCTCCACTCCATTTTTAACAGAGTCAGTCACAGAACCTGGAATGTGTCCAGTATGCTGGGATGGCTGACCAGTGAACCCTAGGAATCTGCCTGTCTCCTCCTCCCAACACTGAGGTTACAAGCATATGGTACCACACCTAGCTTTTTATGTGACTTTTGGGGACAGAACAGAGATCCTCCTGCTTACACAATGAACATTTTACCAACTGAACCCAAGCCCAAGGAATCCTTGTTTTACTTAATAATGACTGGAAAGCTCAACAATAGAGACGCAAAGGGGACACTGGGGCATAAATTATAGGAGCACAATAGGGCCCTCAGGAAAGACACTGTGTATCTAGGAATCACTATTACCTGCAACTGGGGCAGCCACCCTGATCTTGAAAGATACCCTCCTAGATATGGAAGTCATTTTTCTCATGAGAAATCAGGTTTGTGTGCCCGAGAGTTTGATATCCAGGCAGACATTGTTCCCAGTTTCAATAACTGTATCTGTAAATATGGTCAGTCTCCCTAAGGCTGCTATGGAGACAAGATCTGTTTATTTACAAGGAATGCCTAAGAATTTATGACATCTAGTGGATCATTTTGTGGCTTTCGCTTTCTTTCTCTCTTCCTTCCTTCCTTCCTTCCTTCCTTCCTTCCTTCCTTCCTTCCTTCTTCTTACCCCCTCTCTCCCTTCCCCCTTCTCTCCCTCTTTCCTTCCCTCCCTCCCTCTCTCCCTTCCTTTTTTTTCAGGGTCTTTCTTTGTAGCCCAACATGACCTCAAACTCACAATTGTTCCTCCTGCCTCAGCCTCCTAAGTGATATGATCTGGCTTCTGGTTTCTAGTGGATCTTTCTTTTATTTCTGAGACAGGGTTTCATGTAGCTCAGGCTGGCCTCAGAGTCCCTATGTAGCCTAACTCTGGATGATCCTGCCTCCATCTCCTGAGTGCTAAGGTCACAGGTGTGTGACACTCTGCTTGGTCCTTGTGATGCTGATAGGTCCAGGACTTCATGTCTTCTTGGCAAGTCCCTTACAACTGAGCCATACCCCTAGCCCCTTTCTCTTCTTTTTCTTTCTGTATTGCTGAAGATCCAGTTCAGGGTCTTGTGCATGCTGAGTAAGTTGTTCCACCAGTGAGCCACACCCCAGACCCTCACTATAGTATTTCAGTCAGGTTCTCCAGTACTGAGCCACACCCCTGGATCTTTTTATGTTATTTAAAGTGAAGTCATCCCCTCCTTTGGGGTTTCTTTTATGGGTTCATTGCAGTACAGATCTCCTTGATTGACCAGCCAAGGCCTTCAATCTTGCTTTTCAGACCCAATAGTTTCTGCATCCCATGTCTGCAGTCATCTAGTGCTCTCTCACCAGGGGCTGGTGGGACTGGCGTCTGGTTCTTAAGTGTTTTGACCTCTTGTTCTGTGAAGTGATTTTCCGCTCAGACAAAGCAAGCCTCCTGCCTGTTCCTTCCTTATTCATGCTGTTCCCTTAGCCTGTGTTTTGCCCTATATCATGCTTCTTGTGTATAGTGTGTATGTTTTGTATGTGTGGGAGCCAGAGGTTGATTTCAGGTGTCACCTTTGATTACTTCCAACCTAAAACAAAAACAACTGCCCCTGCCCCCAAAGCATTTAATGTGTGTAGCACAAGTGTATGTCATGGTGACTTTCTAGTGTAAGGTCTATCCTTCTACCATGTGGATCCCAGAAACTGATTTCAAATCATCAGGCTTTACACACTGAACTATCTTTATAGCTTCCCCATCTTTTTTGTGACAAAATCTCTAATTGACCAGCTGGCCAGTAAGCCCCAAGGATCTACCTGTCTTTACCGCCTCAGTACTGGGATTACCAGTACGTACAACCATGCCCTACTTTTTACCTGGGTTCTGGGAGATTGAACTCTGGTCTTCACACTTGTACAACAAACACCTTCCTGACTGAGCTACAATTCTGAGATAAAATGTCTGTTATCCCTCTGAGCAGAAATGCTTTTTGGTAGGAAAAATGTCACCATTTCTAAGAATCACAGGGTTGGACTCTCCCTCCTAGACTCTCAGGACTCCCTCCTGGACTCTCCCTCCTAGACTATGCAGAAACCATGTGTATATTTTATGAACTTTTCCAAATCTTTTGGCACACCTTCCTAGTCTGGGCATTGCTTTTTCCATCTTTCCAAAACGTTCAACTTGGGTTTTACTCAGTTGCCATCATTTTTTTCTTTCTCACATAATGTCATCAATTTATGTAATTTAATAAGATTATATAATTACAGTAACAAGCACAGCTGGCATGAAGAGGTGGGGGGATGACAAAGTTGTTGGCAGGAGCACAAGTCAAGTGACAAGAGCAGAAACAGGCAGGCCCAA